ACTTTGGTGCCTTGAGCTATGTTTTTAATTCTGTGGTGGAGCTTTGAGATTTGAGATGAGTAGAAAGGGGGGGCAACTGACACAGGTAATAATGGAAGCTGCCATTCTCCGTCTGGGGAGCCCCGTATCTTCATTCAGTTCTTCTAACAGATAGTTTAATGCCTCAGCCCAGCACCTGTGAAGACCAGGGTGGAAAGAGAGTGAGGAGTCAAAGGAAAGGAAATTGGCTATATTGAGCTACACAGATGGATGTGTGGTTTCTCTCCAGAGGAAAAAAATGCGTGGAATGAACAAATTAACGCAGTCTGGTGACTGGCTGGCATATTTTCCTAGTTCAGCAAAAATTACTTCAAGTAGGGGAGTCTTTCATGACAGAAATCATGTCTTGTCTTACGAAGCTTGTTATTGAAGAAAGTATTCCCCTGTTCATCTTGGAGCTCCTTTCTGTGTTGTTAAACCATGTTTATTTTTCACAATTGGTCCTTTGGAACTCATATGATAGTTTCTTTTGTGTAAACCTCATCTCTTCAACATGTCTTTGCTTTTTTGTTTTTTTTGTTTTTTTTTTTTTTTGGTGTAAAAGGCAAATCTTCTCTTGGGCTGCTGTGATGGTTTAAAGTAGTAATTGCTTAGGGCTTCCACCCTGCCAACAATTGTATTTGAGTAGAATTCAGAGTCTGAGTCACAGAGTAGAACATATAATTAACATGACTAAAAAACTCTAATCTTTGAAAATTCTCGTCCTCAGTTTATACATCTATAAAGTGAAAGAATTAGAAACGCACCTCTAAGGGGCCTTCCAACTCAGACAGTCTTGGATTCTAAAAACTCCAACTATCAAAAACTCTCTTCTTTCATCAAGTTTTTATTTGTCATTATAGAGCTCTTCCTATACTGCTATACCTTTCTGTGAGGTTTTGATATTTATCGAAGTGAAGGGTAAAAAGTGGGAATGGAGGTCGGATACAGCTGAGTTCCTTGAGGTTAGAAAGTGGTAATAAAATAAGATGTAATTGTAACAGAGTGAAATACTCAGCCTTTTTGACTCCATTTTATTCAAGCCTGCTTTGTTCCCATGGCCTTCAGGTGAATAGCTTCTTGCATACAGACATGTTCATCGTTGGAGGAATTCTGCTTATGGCTTGAGTTTTTCAAAAACAGCCCCTTACCATAAAGTGCCTCTTCCAAGGAGATAAAGAAAGTATGTATTATTTATCAAAAATTTTCAGAAAACTCTTGACAGAAAACTCACATCAATTAGGGTCAACAGAGTAAGCACAATCTTCCTTGGACCCCAGCTGGCATCTAGATGTCTGTAGTCATCAATTGCCTCTTGTCTCTCACATTTCCCTTTTCTCTGAACATAAAAGAAACTGGAACTCTGTACTTTCTTAAGATGGATTTGAGGCACCACTAGGTCTCCCATCTTCTTGGTTGGTGCCTTCTTGATCAATAAATTTTTTCTTACTCCAAACTCTGAAATTTTCAGTTTTGGCCTTTCAAAACATTGGGCAATGGACTGTGGACCAGTAATACATGGATAATGATGTTTCTCTTCCCCCTATTTATTTTATTCCACTAGTAGTTCTTGACTTGGTGATCTGATGAAGACTGGTCAATTATTTTTTATCTTATTTCCTGTAAGCTTCTATTTCTTACCAAATTTTTTTTAAAAAAATTGCTATGAGGGTTAAATAAAATTTAAAAATATAAAGTCTGTAACAGCACACAATAAGCACATTATAGTACATGCGAGGCACTTAGTATTTTCTAATCGAAAAGTGCTTTATAGCATATAAAACATTTTCTCATGCATTATCTTATTTCTCATGAAATTGTTACTTAAATATCAGAAAGGTGATGTGAAATACCCAAAGACAAAGAGCTGGCGAAAGCCAGGGTTTACACTCAGAGTATGATTTCAGGAAGAAAGCTACCAACTCTTTCTTTGCTTAAAACTTTGATGTTAGCATTCTTTTCCTGGGACTGTACTCCAACTTTGATAAGTTGACCATAGCAGCTCAGTGAGAAAGACCCAGTCTTCTTATCCTATGAAATAACTGCCTCACTTCCAGTACTACCTTATTTTCCTACAATCACATAATTGCTATTACCATAATTGGGTATAAATAAAAATATACAGTTCCTTTTGAGTCAGAGATTTTCTTTCTGACCTTTAGCTAGAATTCCTGAGCAGGCTTTTTGCCCACAAAAGATGGCTGGCTCCTTAGGGCAATTCTTTTAATTCTGTGTCTAATTGGAAATAAGGCTGTGTTGTGTAATGGAAGGACCTTAACTTGGAATGTATTTTGTAACAATAGGCCAGAATGGTGAAAACACTCCTCAGTGAAATTTTAGGAGATCATGGCTCTCACCAACTCAGTCCTATCTGTAGTGATGCTTTGGGAATGTACTGGTCCTTTCTGAGTCTCAGTTTTCCCAGCTTCAGAAAGAGGGCTCTGGATTATAGCTTCCAAGAGCCATTCTAACTCTGACCTTCTATAGCTTATATGCCTTAAACTACCATTGCACCATATGGTGGCTGATTAGTGCTTTTACATGTTTTCGAAATATCATGGTAGGTGCTAAAGTTCCTTAGGAGTAATGAGACGATACTTGGTATAGCCTTTGCAGCAAAGGATGCATTCTGCTTGGGAGTGGGTTGGGAGGCAAATGTGATGCCTTTAAATTAAAAAAGCCATAACCCAGAGGCTTCTTATAGATCCGGTATGTATGTTCTTTACTGGATAAATGCTAGTAGCATTACCATCATAGCTGTCTACATCATTAACACAGAGTTACTGAGGTCATGGAATATCCCAAATGGAGGCACTCTAAAGAACATAGGGAAAATGGAGATTCAGAAAAAGAAATGAACTTGCCCATGGTCACACAGCATTAAGTGTCAAAACTAAGACTAACATAGGACTACCCAACATCCCATTCATTGCATTTTTTACTCTAATTATCTTACATGACTTATCTCCTGGTAAGCATGAATAACTGTTTAATAAAGCATTCCTAGTCATCAAATAATTCATATTCTCCACAATTGTCCTGGTGACATTTGACAGAAAAGAAGATGATAAGTTTTCATAGTACTGTAGTACTAAAGGCTCTGCTGAGAAGCATCATCTTAGTTTTACCTTTGGAGACACTTCTTAGTTGTAGATTTATCTTCTCATCTATCATCACCTCTGGAGCTCAGGAGAAAAGGGTGGCTGAATTCGTGTATTTAAAAGTATACCACATCTCTGAGAAAGGTCATTACCATGCCCAAATTGATTGTCTATTTAGAAATAGAGTCCTTCTTGAATGTCATGCTTAAACTTCATTTGGGGTTTCCCCAAGGTGAAATAAGATAACTGTTCTTATTAGATAAGCTATCTTGGCAGATTTTCATCCCCTTTGAATAAGAGCAAATTTGCACTCAGTACATAAATTGATGTATGAAGCAGCAAATATTTCCATTGTGCAAGTTGTTTAATGAATTCAATCCAGAATGCTCCATTAACCAGCATGTATAGAATATTCATTGAGCTTTGAATTTATTATCAGGCCAGGAAAAAAAAAATGAAGGAAAGTACGGTGGCGGGGGGGGGGTGATAAATGTTAGTATAGCAGCTGAGAATGTGAGGGGTTAGAGAGGGAAGTTTAGAGGTATGTACAATATTTTTCTTTTCTCTTTTTTTTCTTTCTGGACAAAGGATTAAGTTCAAAAAAAGTTGAGTGTCAACTTTCAAATTTAATCATCAAAAATCTGAAAACTGGGCAGCAAAATATGCCAAGCTTTTTTCTTACTTTCCTTTTGTAAGAAGTAGCTCAGGGACCAGCCAATTGGGAGAGGGGTGTTATATGCTTATGTGTGAGATGGTGTTTATACACATCCCTGCATGGATAAACATTCAGAAACCACAATAGCATTCCCAAAGGAATCCTTCCTTAATACAGGAAGTGACAGCTTTGTGAAGGGTCCACAATTAATCTACATCTCAGGATTTAATTTCTAGAAGAAATAAGACCTCTATGATGTTCCACGGGGCTGTTTAGAATTACAGGCAACTTAGTTTTAAAGCTTGTCAAATGCAAAGCTCCTAAGCTTGACTTAACCTCCAGGCATCTCTTTATATTCAGAGATGTCTAAAACCACAAACTATAAATTCTGATGGGCACATGCAAAAGAAGAGGCCATAGAAATTACAATTTTGTTATTCAAAGTGGCCACACTTCCTTACCACAACTTCCCTCCCACCACTCCCAAGATGACTTTCTCTTACTTGTCACTTGGATTTACCAGATGACCAGGCCTGTGCTATATCAGAGAATGACTGCCTCCCACCTCTGTGGATCAAGACTGTGAACTTAGTGAAAAAGGGCAGGGAAAGCCTCCCTATGAGCTTTGACATATTTGTTGCTGCAATTTTTCTGGGCGGAATGTGTGCAGAGAATAGAAAATGGTGAGATACATAATCTGAGGTCACAGGGCATTTTGAATTGGTCATCATCTTTCTTAAAGATCATGTATATCTGCCTATTTGGGAAATCTCAAGCCTTTTTCTAGTCAATTCTTGCTTGTATTTATGAGTCTATGGAAACCATTGCTGTTGTCATCTTTCTTCTTGAAACCATCTCCCACCTCGACTGTTTCAGTTCCTCGACTCTTCCTTCTTATTTTCTCTTTTCACTGTTACTATCAGAATGTTTTCATGAAGTCAGTTTTCAAATGTCCAGCCCTGGCCACTGTCCTGAACATCAGAGTCACATTTCCAATGAGGCATTTCCACACAGAGTTCTCAACAACACTTTAAATTCGTCATGTTTGAAAGCTAATTCTTTATATTCTTCTCCTAAATAGCCTAGAACAATTCAACTAGGTGATAGTTAAACCAATTGTCTCAGCAATAATATAAAGGCTCACTGAAATATTATATTCCTTTCCCACCCTTTCCTTTTTGTTTTAATCTAATAGAAATGACTAAAGGAAAACTCCTTTCTTGTAGGAGACAAGGAGAAGGCATTAGGATCTACTGGGGGAGCCCAGAGCAGCAGTCTCTACTGTCCCGTTGGAACCCGTGGTCCACCGAGGTGCCTTATGCTACCTTCACTGAGCACCCTATAAGACACACCAGTGAGAAGTTCCTCGAAATTTGCAAGGTAGGATGCATTTTGGGATTCCCTCTTGGAATAGCTTTGTTGGTAAAGTTTTGTGATTCTAAAATATGTACAGTTAAATAAAAGTGATAAGATACAACCTGGGATTTATATAGGTAAAAAAACTTTAAAAGTTTTATATAACTTTTTTAGGAAACAATAAAACTGTTTTATATATGAAAAAATATATAATATTTTTATTAACCATATCATGCTGTTCCCTCCTTGCTAATTTCTTAGCAAGAAATTATAGTGTAATATTGTTTAAAAATTGCAATATTTGTGTTAGTCTGATTGTGTTTATTGCTCACAGAATGTATATAATTTTCTATATATAATTAAATTCTAATTATTTTATTCAGAGGGGTATGGAGTAGTGCAAAGTATGAAGTCAAATATGACTCTGTGGTTTTCTCTCTGGGCCTTGGTAGTGTTATCTCTAAATGGAAATAAGGAACACTGCCCTGTCTTCCAATCTCATTGGATTATTGTGAGATTAAATGAGATAATGTGTATAAAAATGCTCCATTAACTATAAAGCAATTAATAGTATTTTTATGTTTTTAAATCTTATTTCCCCAAGTAAATTTTACATTCCTTTTACTATCCTTTCCTCTTCCCCAGGAAGAGGTGCTAAAATACTCTAAGTAGTCTAAGTAAAACAGTTTGAGCCATACATTCAGTGAAAGATCAAACATTATATTTTCAACAAAATCAGATATACACGTACGAGTATACTTATAGGCCTTGAAATTCTTGCCTTCTCTTATCATTTCTGCTTGTCATTTTATGCTGGCATTCACTTCAGAATATCACAACTCTTCATTTGCTATAAATTCAGAACATGGCAATCTGCCTCTAAAGTCTTCAGTGGTTGGATGGCATATATTGCATTTCTTAGATTATTTTAAACACACCTATTCATGTGTGAAACAAATATTTCAAATTGGTAAGTCCCCTATTTTAAAAAGTACTTGAAATTAAAAAAATGTGATTAAAGGCTGGACGGGGGCATTTATCCCCCTCTAACACATAGATGAAGTTGGCTTAAGTCACATTCTGCTTTCAGGACATTTTAGTGGTCCTCTTAAGATTTATGCCAACATCCTCAGGGGCTTGTGTTACCTATACTGAGCACCCTATGAGACACACCAGTGAGAAGAAGTTCTGGCTCCAAGCTATTGCAGACACTAAATTATTTCATTGTATAGATGATGTTGCTACTCTTCCTGAAATTCTATTTCACAATATCTCAACCCAAGCATCAACATCAGCCCCTAGACTGACTCCTTACCACCCAAAGTCAACAAAACAAAACAAAATGAAAACCAATAAGAACAAAACAACTCTTACACAAAGGCATTTCTGTGAGAGTAGACTCACTGAGGGCTTCAGGTAGAGAGTGGGAGTTTACAACATAATAATGCCCCAACTTCAAATGGAATATCAGATCTCTCTGTTTCTAAAAGAACTTATTAATAATAATACTCTGATGCATTGCTTCAGAGTCCTCTTTCCTCTCTTGTCCGTCTGTTCTTGCCCCTACCTAAAATCCTGTTTTATTTTTTTCTTATTAATAGTAGAGAGTAGTTTATCTGTTTTATTTTCTTTTAGCACCTGTTATTCCAACTCGAAGAGCTTAATAATGTAACTTACAAAAGCTATTCAGCTTTAAAGGGAATCTGGTTCTAGCTATTAAAATTATATATATATTTGAATTAATAATAATTGTGTTTTATTCTAAGTCAAAATAAATACCAACTTAATAAGTAAATACCAGCAATAACTTGGTTACTATATCTATCACTTCCTGGACCAAGAATTCTCATATTCCTCCTATCTGGTGCACTAATACTTATTCCTTAAGTGTCTTTGCTGAAAGAAATCAGAGTGAAGGATTAAAAAAACAACTTCTATTAATTGTAGATAAATGCTTTGTTTTATCCTGCTATATATAAGTACAATCAATTTAAGAAAGAAGGTACCAACTAAATTATTGAAAAGGAAATAGAATAATTATTTCCCAAATACCCATGAATGTAATTAGTAGACTAGAACATTAAAATTTTCCCCAAGTCTTCTTATTACCCAAGGCTAAAAAGGAAATTCGATGTTCACACAGCTCTTGATGGATGGAAGTAAGAATAGTAGGGGTGTGTGTGTGTGTGTGTGTGTGTGTGTGTGTGTGTGTGTGTCCACATACATGGACTTCAATCATGGCGAATGGTCGGTTAGTTGGTTGGTTGATTTTTGTGTCAATCAAACTGCTTTGTAGATCTGTTGAGTACATTGCCTTTAAGGCTTTTTCTCTTAAATTATTCTTCCAATGTCTTTTTTTTTTTCCTTCTTGGCAACAGCCTGGCACTTTCATTTGCCAACCCATTTCTTATTCAAAGACCACCCCAAGTCCCAGCTCTCTAGGAAAACAAGTGATCTCCATCTGGGATGTGAGATGAGTATGCTGATCCAGTTCTTTGAGTCTTAGTTTTTCTTTTGTTGTTGGTTTTTATGTCACAATATTATTTATGTTTAGCACATTTTCCAACATTGGCTTTGATTAAGACCCAGTTATATTAACATAGAAGTATAAATAAGAAGAAAGATAATTCTGGGGATATAGAATACCTTTTATATGAATATTTTGGCATAAGATAAGATGTTAAAAGAGTGATATAAACTAGCTTTTTCATTTCCCTTATGAATGAAACAGGGAAAAGTGTAAGAATATGAGGGAAATGCATAACTAAATTAAATACCTAAAGCAATTTAATTTAATTTAACAAAACTATTATGGTATGGGAAGAGAACCATGCAGAGTTGAATTACACAGTCAAAATTTACAATTATTTATAATTTAATAAAATAGTTTATTTTAAAAAATACATTAAAAGTTTTTACTCACTTTTTTATAGCACATGCACATGTAATCTCCTTATTCTTCAAATATTTTCTGACACCTGCAAAATGCAGGTATTATGCCTATTATTAAAGATACAAACACAAATGAGACAGGATTCTTCCCTTTGTGGAAGACATTGCTTAATAGTGGAGGCAGAAACAAATGCAAAGGTTTTTAAATGAATACTAATTGACTAAAACAGAAGTCTGGATTAAATGAAGAGAGGGGGGAGGCACATGAAGGTACAAGGTGTGTTCTTAGACACAGTAATTCAGTTTAGCTGGAGTTTAATCTTATTAATTCCCCACCATAATTTTAATAGCTCAAATAATAGGTATGTGGGCTTAAATTAAGGGGCAGTAGGAATGGAGAAAAGATCAAGACATTTTGAGATATTCAGGATATAGATTCAATGAAAGAAGGTAACTGACAAGACATAGTAGATTAAGGAGAGAAAGATGTCAAATATGACATTGTTTCTCCTTTCATTAATTCCAAAGGAGAAAACTACAAGAAGATTAGGTTTGGACATTCAGTTTAGTGCATGTTGTGCTTGAAATGTCCATAAAACATGGGGTTGAGTTGGTTGTCAGGCAGTTAGAAATTTTCACCTGAAGCTTAAGAGAGAAAGTTGAGCTGGTGACAGAGGTTTCAGATCATACAATATTGTGTCAAAGCTGAACCACGGGTTGCTTAGTTAGGAAGGTACCCTAGTGAAAAACATTAATGGATATTACTGCATTCAAATTCTAATTTATACTATCTCTTAGTCTCATTGATCTAAAAACTCACTATCAGAATTATGCAACACTATGTTAAAATACATTTTCTTAATCCATCTCACTATACATTCTAACTCTGGCAAATATGATAGTCAAATGGTCTCTTTCCACACATTCTTGATTATCTCCAAGCCTCACCAACATTTTCTAATCAGTACATGCACATTCTTTGCATTGTTCATATAAAACAGTTGTGAAAATAGAAAATAATAGATTTTTTGGCATTGATTATGTATTATATTACTACGAGACATAAAAATAATCTCATGTAATATTTTGTAATTATACTTTGTATTTATTTATTAAAGTTTTCATGTAATTCAACCAATAAAACCCTGTGAGATCAAGATAGCTATCTCCATTTTAAAAATGAGGATGCTTAGAGTGATTAAGTTAATTGACTAAAGTATTACAATAAAATGGCTTTTTGTTTTCACACCCAAACAATTTCTGATGTGCAGAAAAATTGATATAAACCTGAAGGAACTCTGTGTGTGTATTCATATACACTGGTATGATATGATGTGATATGACATTATATATTATGACTAGGTGAAAATATCCTCAATTGTTTAATCCTCTTTATATGTGCAACTTGTCGCCTTATCTGCCCTCTTTTAATTATTGCCTCACTGGGTTCTTGGAGTGTGTGGATAGTCTTGCAGAGAGTGACTAGTGACTGAGTTCAGAGCTGGTGAGTAATAGTGAATGTATTATGGAAACTCTACAGCCAAATCAAAGTTATCTGCAGACTTCCCTTTTTATTCTCTTCTGGTATATTTAACTTTCTTTTCAAGGGAATTATGGAATTGAACCAATATTTTAGCAATCAAATAAAACTTTATATCTTTAGCCCTTTGGTTTTTCTTCACATCAATTCAACAAGTATTCATAGAATACCTACATGGCATTGAATACTACATGCTGAGCAATGTGCTAGCAAGAGCACATAGAGAGACTGAAATACATAGCCCGAAGGCTTAAAAAATCTGCTTAGCTGAGGAATGTGGGCCTGCAGGCATGAAACCAGGTCTCTACTCAGTGTAAACAGGAAACAAGTGATGGTTGTAATAAGGAAAACTGAGACTCTGCTCAGTGAACTCCTGGCAGACAGCACCTGAAGCAAACTAGGAGCCCAGCCACTCAGTGGGTAAATAATTGTTGTAAAGTGAAGAAGAATATTCAACACTCCTTACTCTACCCCCAACACACACACACATACCCACACCACACACACCACACACCACACACCACACACACACACACACACACACACACACTACTATGCCTACCTTAACCAACGCCTAGCCCCTATGTAATCG